TTCATTAATTACAGTGATTTTTATTGTGAAGATGAAATTACCCTCTAATTGACCTCACCCCACCCATTTTCACCTTCTAATCGCCAAAAAATGTCTAGTTTTTTTCTAATGAACACCTATCTTTCAAGATTGTTTCTAGTCGATTGGCACACCAAAAATTCACCCTTCCACAACTACTGGAACCCCCTTCATCCCCTCTTCAAAACCCACCATCAAATCAACTTTCCTCACTCCTTATTTGTCGCCTGCCAATTAGGCGCCCACCACCTTCTCATAAAAATTCCCCAACCAACCTGCCCCATTCCTACTTGTGACCACTCACACAACCTGCCCAGAACGCAAAAGCGCACGCTCAGCTAGATAGTGCTAGGCTGAGCTCGACCTTTTGTCAAACAGGTTGGATGCAAGGGGAAAATGAGGAAAGGTGGAAGCTTTGGGGAGTACCGATGACTAGAAATCAACCACACACATGCCAGAAAACACTCCTAACAGCCTTCCTTTGTCATCTTTCAACAATCAAACACCCAATAAAGTCAATCCCAATTCACCAATCAAACAAATAACCAAAAACCTAGGAAAGAGAGGCAGCGATAACGACAACGTTCGACGAGCAAAGGGCGTCGGGAATGTTAGGGGCATGCCGGTGGAGTGATTGGTGGTGCTGGGAGTAATTTCCGATGATGGGGTTGCCGAAAAAAAGCTTGAGTGTAAAAATAACCAAGCATACCAAGACCATCCTGCCCTTACTTACAATAAAGATTTGATCATCTTATCCTGAACTGTGTTTTAGGTAATAAAATGGTATTTTAAAAGCTAATAGATTGAAAAGTTGTCATTACGACCATTATGTGGTTAGAAAAAAGTCGTTTACTCTGTTATAAAACATAAAGTTTTTGAAAACATAAAGTTTTTGGACTGCACAGAAACGTCGGATAAGATAAAATAAAAAATGAAAAAAAAATTTGTTTCTGGAAAAAAATTCAATGTTGTTTGAAGTGGACAAAGGAGATCCACGGCCTTATGCTTTTTCTGTCCTTTGTGTGTTTCAATGTAATAGTTATGGGTGACCAAAAAAATCAGATATCCAATCTGTATCTGATCTGATTTGATCCAAAAAAACTAGATATTTAGAAATTTAAATCGGATTCAGATATATATTTTTGGAAGATCTGAATATTCGAATCAAATACCGGATTGGCTTTGCAAAGAAACAGATATTCGAATCCGATCTGGTTTTGTCCATAAGTATAGTTTTAAAAAGTTATTTCAAGGTCCTAGGTGAAAAGTGATAAAGTATGTGGACTTTTCTAAAATACGGTGATAACTTTGGGATCAAAGTGTAATGAAATGCTAATGTGACAAGGGTAAATAATGCAAAATTTTAGGGGGCAAATTGATATTTTCCATGCAAATTCGAATCAAAACCGGATCAGACGAAATCCGAATTAGNAAATATAAACAATGGAGAGCAATGAATGAGAATGATGTTAAACAAAATGGGTAAGCAATATTAAGCAATAAATGAGAGAATTATAAGTATGAGCAATAAATAAGAGCAAGTGATAATGATGAACAATGAGGAGTTGTAATGATGAGCAATAATGGTGACCAAGCAATAAATATGCAAGGAATAATAAATGAGTTAAAGGAAGAGAATTGCTCAAAGATTTATAGTGGTTCGGAGCTATATCCACAAGCCTACTACATCTACTTCTTCAAGGCAACCTCTTTGAAGTTCCACTAGAATCGGATTGCACGAATACAATAGTTTACAAAGATTTTTCCTCTAGTTGATCAAGAATTCGCCACTAGTTTACAAGATTTCGCCTCTAGTTTTGGACAAGCCTCTAGTTTACAAGGATTTGGCCACCACACACTAGATTTACAAGATTGCACCACTTAGTGTTATAGGATTTTGCCAACAAGGTTTGAATCAAAGTGATTGTGAATGATTGCCTCTAAGCTAGGCTTATACACTCAATGTTTTACAAGGTTTCTCTATCTAAAGATAGAAGATTGAGTACAAAGAGAGTGAGGGAAGATCAATGTTAAACTATGAGCATTGCAATAGATTTTTTGTGCTTTCTCCCCTACTTCTTCCTTCTTCAAAGTGTGTTTTTATATTATGATTTGAAGATATAGTCATTTATAGCCATTACTTCATTTAATGCACTACAGAACCCAGTGGAATAGGCATTCCATTATCGTACATGACCCACCAACGGTCATAAAATTTGAATTTCCAACTCATTTTATAGAGTTGAATTTGGAATTTTATAGAGAAAGTTATAGCCCAATCTTTGTAACATGTCCAGATTTTCCCGAATGATGAACAGCTTGGTTGAACGGTGATGTTCATGCATGGAACAGCTTGGGGACTTGATGAATGGTCATTCCTTCATGATGCACGTCATTCCACGATGAATCTCTAACTTTCAAAATTCAACAAAGCCATGAACGACTTTATGGAATGAGGTCGTTCATACCTAAAATGGCTTAAGAATAGATGAACGGTCGTTCCTCTCTGATTCCGGTTGATTTGGGCTACATGATAAACATGAAAGTTTTAAGCCTCGAATTAAATTTCTGAAGTCTAAGAATCATGTAACTATATCATCTATAGCAAAGTTATCCTAGAAATACCAAAGAGATGTTAGGACTTAATTATGCCAGACTGTCAACTTCTGTCGTGATTTCCTCCTTGATTCTGGATTTCTGGAAAAGTTATGAACATAAAACTTTTGGCCCTATGAATTAGATTTCCAAATCCACCAGCATCACACCATTGATCTCTCTAGCAAAAGTCATCTCCAAAAATCGAACAATGGTTCTAGATCCAGATTGTAATCTTGTATCTCGATTTGCTCCCTGATAATGGCCGATTGGGTGAACATTCATACATATTTTAGATCTTTGAGTTAGCTTTTCAACACCACAAGAATAACTTGATTTGGAGCTCTCTAGCCAAGATATCTTCAAAATACTAAAGAGTATTCTAGAGGATAATTCTGAGATTAAAACCCGATTTCATTTTTAGTCATGACTTATGTCATGCCTTTGAGTTTTGTTAGTCCTATACAATATTTTGCTTGGTTTGGACATCAAAACACACAAGGGTCCAAAGCAAATGACCTAATAAAATCTTGAATAGGACCATTTATATGGTATTCTGAAGTCTAAACGACCTTTCCACCAAATAATGATCTAATGAAGTTTCCCACCCACAAACTTTTAAAATACCATTTTACTACTCAAACGTTATATTTCATACAATTTTCGTAATTTAGTGATTTTTATTGTGAAGATGAAATTACCCTCTAATTGACCTAACCCACCCATTTTCACCTTCTAATCGCCCAAAAACGTTTAGTTTTTTTCTAGTCAAGATTGTTCTAATCGATTGGCACACCAAAAATTCACCCTTCCACAACTACTGGAACCCTTCATCCCCTCGTTCAAAACCCACCATCAAATCAACTTTCCTCACTCCCTATTTGTCGCCCGCGATTAGGCGCCCACCACTTCTCATAAAATTCCCCAACCAACCTGCCCCATCCTACTGTGACCACTCACACAACCTGCCCAGAACGCAAAAGCGCACGCCTAGCTAGTAGTGCTAGGCTAGCTCGACCTTTTGTCAAACAGGTTGCATGCAAGGGGGAAATGAGGAAAGGTGGAAGCTTTGGGGAGTAACGATGACTAGAAATCAACCACACACATGCCAGAAAACACTCCTAACGGTTCCTTTGCATCTTTCAACAATCAAACACCCAATAAGGTCAATCCCATTCCCAATCAAACAAATAACCAAAAACCTAGGAAAGAGAGGCAGCGATAACGACAACGTTCGAGAGCAAAGGGCGTCGGGAATGTTAGGGATTTAGAGGCATGCCGACGGAGTGATTGGTGGTGCTCGGAGTAATTTCCGATGATGGGGTTGCCGAAAAAAAGCTTGAGTGTAAAAATAACCAAACATACCAAGATATCCTGCCCTTTTACAATAAAATTTTGACTATCTTGTCCTTTCACAAGAATTGTGTTTAGATAGTAAAGTGGTATTTTAAAAGCGTATGTGAGAAGTTGTCATTAGTCATATTTGGGTGGAAAAAGTCGTTTACTCTATTATGAAAACATAAAGTTTTTGGACCGCATAGAAACGCTGGATAAGATAAAATAAAAAATGAAAAAAAAATGTTTTGGAAAAAAATTCAATGTGTTTGAAGTGGACAAAGGGAATCCACGGCCTTATGCTTTTTCTGTCCTTTGTGTGTTTCAATGTAATAGCTAAGGGTAAGCAAAAAAAATCGATATCCGATCCGTATCTAATCTGATTGATCCGAAAAAACCAGAATTTGAAAATTCAAATCGGATTCAAATAATATTTTTGGAAGATCGATTTTCGGATCAAATACCGGATTGGCTTGTAAAGAAAACAGTATTCGAATCCGATCTGGTTTTGTCCGTAGTTAATTTTAAAAAGTTATTTCAATGTCCTAGGTGAAAAGTGTAAAAGTATGTGGACTTTTCTAAAGTACGGTAATACTTGGGATCAAGAGTAATGAAATGCTAGTGGCAAGGGTACTAAAATTATGACAAATTTTAGGGGGAAATGATATTTCCATGCAAATTCGAATCAAAACCGAATTCGATTATCCAATCCGAATATCAAATCGGATCAAAACCGATCAGCGAAATCCGAATTAGATTCAGATCAGCTTTTATCCTTATTCAATTCAAATCGAATCAAAATGCAAAATGAATCGAATATCTTGTTTTACACATCTTGTATTAGTATATGTTGCATCAATGATACTACTTTTTAAGTTTTAATCTCAAATGATGTGTCATGGTATGACATATAAATAAATGATGTTTTAAATGATATGGCAATGCCCATAAATAATATATCATTTGGAATGTAAAATTTGGAATAGTAGTATTGCTCAACGATGATATAGTTTATACAAAGAAAAAAATATCAATACAACTCATTCAAACATCAAAACAGTTTAAGAACAATTTATTGTTATTTTCAATAAATTTTCTGTATGTGGGCTACAATATCCTTCTCATGGTAAATATGGAATTGAATTATTGGGATTAGATATCAAATGAAACCACCAAGAATGAAAAGAATTTCTTTATCCATAATTATGTACGTTGAGTTATAGCCTATAGCAGATCCATCATGCTTATAATTAGTTAAACATTGTCACTTCAATGGCTTTCTCAATCCTCAACCTCCAGTTTAATTATCACCCCCAGAATAGAACTCTTCTTCTTAATTCAACTTAACGATGGCAATATCTTATAACAAAACATACCAATGGTTCCTGTAGACTAAAAAATTCATCACTACAAGGGAGCTAAACCTTAATGATGGTTATGTAGATTTCCTCTTTCAATGATCTTGTCGTCATCAATATCGTCACTGAAGCAAAGAGATTTCAAGTGCTTGTCAATCCCAAATAACAAAAATTCAATCTCCTCCATAAGCATATGCGATCTCTCTCCATAAACAAATTCACAAACCAAACCATCCACTTCAATCAAACTACATCCTGGCACCTTTCTTACATTCTTATCTCCCATTCCTTTCCTCACCTTTGCCACCCCCTCCCACTGGTTAGCAGACGCATATATGTTTGATAGAAGCACATGAACCCCTCCATGGTCAAGACTCCGTTCAACTAAGCTCTCCACCGTTTCCTTCCCCAACTCAACATCACCATGAACTCTACAAGCATTGAGCAATGCACCCAATACATAATTGTCAGGATTCAAAGGCATCTCTCTGACCACCCTTTTTGCCTCTTCTAGCATCCCAGCTCTCCCCAATAGATCCACCAAACAGCCATAGTGTTGAACTCTTGGTTCAATCCCATAAATCTCACTCATACTGTTAAAAATTCTCAACCCTTGATCAACCAACCCCATTCGACTACATGCATTTAGGACGCATATAAATGTAACTTCATTGGGTACAACTCCTTCCTTCTCCATCCTTGCAAACAACTCTATTGCACAAGCACTCTGATCATGATTCGCTAACCCCGAAATCAAAGAGGTAAAGGCAAAGACATCCCTATTTCGCATGCCTTCAAACACAAAACTAGCCGTTTCAATGCAGCCACACTTTGAATACATGTCAATAAGAGCAGTTCCCAACACTCTATCTAATTCTATCCCATTTCTACCAACATAAGCATGTATCCACCTCCCTTGATCCAAAGCCCCCAAAAAAGCACAAGCTGTAAGCGCGCCAACGATCCCAGCATGATTGGGCCTAAACCTACAAATCTGCATTTCAGTAAAAAGTTCCAAAGCCTCCTTAAAGAGCCCAACTTGCACATACCCAGTAATCATCGCACTCCAAGAAACCACATTCTTCTGCGGCATTTCATCGAACAGTCGGCGTGCAACCAAAACTTCGCCAGACTTCACATACCCATTTATCAAAGAAGTCCACGTAATGACATCCCGATTCACATTGGTATCAAACAATTTCTTAGCTGGGTCAATGCAGTCACAAGAAGCATAAAAATGAATCAATCCATTCAAAACAAAATCATAAGATCCCCAACCCAATTTAATAACTTGGGCATGACATACTAAACCCGTTAACAAATCCGAGAGTTCAGCACAAGCTTTGAGCACAAACGAGAAAGTGTAGTTGTTAGGCAAGAAGTTAGAGATAACCATTTGCTTATACAAAGATAAGGCTTTGATGGGTTCATTTTTCTCAGCAAAGCCTCTGATCATGGTGTTCCAGATGAAGGTTGTTCGATACGGAAGACAGAGGAAGAGTGTGTAAGCATGAGAGAGATGGCAATGGCCATGGTCAAGGTCGGAGGCCACACAGAAGGAAATGGTTTTGCCGGCAGCGTAGGGGTCCCAAAGGGTGCCTGAAACGGTAAGATGTGATTGAATTTGCTTGAGTTGTTTGAGATTGAAACATTGATCCAAGAGAGAGAGTGATCTCTGACTTGCTTTCAAATATTTGAAGCCAAAACTACTAAACAACATAAATTCGTAAAACAATTGTCCTTGATTAAACTTGCGTATACACAGGAACCGGAACAGGACTTGATTGTGTACTTTGTGCAGTTTGCTTTGAACGTTGAAGATCTTTCATTGTATAGGGTTAATAACAATTAGCTACAAAAAGTTTTAAAGTTTTTTATACACCCTACTCTAATCATTCTTCAACTAAATGATTAGAGATGCAAAATTTTATTAATTTCCTTTCAAGTAACAAAGAAAGTGATAATTGAGATTTGAAGAAAGTAATCCCAAACTCATTTTGAGAAAATAAATAATCTAATTTACAGTTTTGTCCTTTTAGTTAATGAAATTACATTAATTACCTGATCGTTACATAAGTATAATTAATTTTTGAAGTATATTTTGTTACATGGGCATGTAATTTTTGAAATGATGTTGTCATTACATGGGTATATGATTTTTTTAGTGCATAGTTGACTTGAAGGTTAAATAGGATAGGAATAATACAAGTTTTTTTGTTCCTTAAAAGCCTATTTAGTAAATACGGGTACGGTAAAAAAATGGTACGGGAATTTTACGAGTATGATACGGCAAATGGTGAAAAATACGTTTGTAAAAATTCGGCCATAAAATTCGGATACGAAAAAAATACGATATGGGTATATACGGGTTTAATACGACACATTGTCAATAATACATTTTAAAAAATACGGCAATATCAATCCTAGTTTTAGCACTTTTCATAGGCCACTTGGTTAAAATCTATATAACATTTCAAATATACGGGTACGACAAAAAAAAGGTACGGGTATGATACGGAAAATGGTGAAAAATACGTTTATAAAAATTCGGCAAAAATTCGGATATGGGAATAATTCGCGAATAATACGGTTGAGACATATAATTCGCGAATAATACGGCTGGGCTTATAAAATACGGCTGTTCGCGAATAATATGCGAATTATACGGGTGGACGTATAATTCGCGAATAATTCGCGAATTTACTAACTAGGCTTAAAAGAAGGTGTATATAAACAATAGAAGTAATTTTCAGTAGGATCAGACGTGTTTGGTAATTGAATATGTTACGAACAAAGATAGGTTGGCAAACTTTTCTCACAAACCCTAATGTGGTAGCTAAGTTGGTAGCTCCATCACGCCTAAGGCACAAAATGATTTTGACTAGACCCAAGAAACGGTCGTTCATAAAAGGAATGATCGTTCCTCTCTAAGGAACGACTATGTATGAAGGAATGATTGTTTCTTGATAGGGAACAGTAGTTCCTTGTAAAAGAATAATTATTCATTCATAAGGAACGACCGTTCCTTATGAAGGAACAATCATTAAGTCACAAGGAATGACCATTTCTTCCTTCATGTTGAGTTAAATTCGTCAATTGACGTGTTAATACCAACTCAAGTGCCATGTTGGTTTGCGAGAGAAAGTTTGTGATATTGGTTTATCAGTATAGTATTACCCATATATTAAAGAGTGGTTAAGAGAATAGTAGTTTTCATGATGTTGATGATGATTATGTGACTTTAAGATTCAATCATTCACTACTTTGAAGACTAAATGGTGAGAGTAAATTTTGTACCACTACTTTTTAAGTAGTCACCAGACTTGCCGGAAGAGCCACGGGACTTTGGCTTTCATATATCTAGATGTTTACTTTTTCCTCTACCCTTTGGACAGTTAGATCATTCATTCTTGATTACATTGGACCAATTTGTCATTTTTTTTAAAACTTGTGGGTCTAAATTTTACTGCAATCAATGTCAGAAAACATACCAATATTTTTACCCTAATGATTTGGGTTGGTTCGGTATATAAAAGAAATTAAGGTTTAAGTAATTAAGAGATTAATTTGAGTTTAAGTGTCCATTTGGTTCGGGGTCATATAAGATTACGGGGGTAATCTTCATTTAATTTTCAAGATTTCCTTGTTTGGTTTGCAAATAATAAAATATTACGAGTATCTTTTATTGCAAATAGTATTTACTGTTGGTTAAATAGGGAGTAATCAGATACCCGCCCTAGGAGGTGTTATTAAACGATTATCGGATAATATGATTTTTATCCGATAATCATATTATCGGATAAAAATCATTACCCAGACCCTCTACATTTGAGAATTTAGCTAAAACACTCCAGCCACAAAAAGTTTAAAAGTTAACAAAATACTCCCAGCCAACCAAGTCACCTTAATGGCGCACAACCGACGGGATCTAGCCAGTAATGTGCCATTAAGGCAACTTTCGGTAGCACCAGCGGTGGTGGTTGGCTACCGACAGTGGCTTAGGGTGGGTGGGGTTGATTTTATTACAAATTAAAGTTTTATATGGTTTGGGTGTTTTAGCAAAATTTCAAATGAAGGGATTTAAAAAATATTCAAAAAATAATAAACAAATAATATTATAAAAGGAGAGCAATTTAGTAATCTATATAATATACCTACCTATTTACCTCCCAATCAAACATATCAATATAACATACCCACTAATTTATTCGAAACTAACCAAACACATTTCCTTAAATATTCCCAGTAATCTTCAGGGCAATCTATCATTCTATTAATATAAAATTTCTCATAATAAAGCATTATACAAACCAAACGCACCCAAAGGGTTTGATAATTGCATAAATTAGAATACAAGTAAAGGAATCCGTATCTTGGCTTGGGGCCTATTTAATTAATAAATCCTTTGTTTTATTAAGTGGGGACATTTCTAGTTTTAGACCATTATTTAACATGTTGATTGATTACGTTCCAACAGATATATGGTCAATTACTCAATTACCAAAAATTTTACCCGAAATCATTTTTCTTAACCTGTCTTATTTTGTTGTTGGTGTTGGGTAAATGGGTATAGATGAAGTTGGCAATATTTAATTTGGTATAATCAAAAATTAAATTAATTAACCACCTCTTTTGAACTAATGGAGTGAATGATGAATTGAAGAGTTAAAAGACCAAAGGATCTTGGGTGCAAAGGTGCTTAAGGAATTAAGAGGAAGCATAGAGCTTCTTCATCTTTGAAGGAATGACAAAGACACCACACCATCGATTTATAAAATAAACCATGGTTGACAATTAAGTAATATTTCTATCAATAATGCTATGGACACCGAGATTGCGCACCGAATTCTTACATCGAATTACGTGTCACGTGACTCAGACCAGCCACGTATCACATTAACAAATATTTTGCGAGTGAATCATTCATCAACTATGGACGGTCGTTCATTGTTATTGGACGGGGAGTTCATTATATGTGGACGCTCGTCCATGCGAAATGAACGATGGACTCCCGTCCATATTATATGGACAGGAGTCCATTTACTATGGATGGGTGTCCACCTATAATGGACTCCCGTCCATAGTTTAAATTTAAAAAATTTGAAAACAAAAATCATGGACTCCCGTCCATATTCAATGGACAGGGATCCATACTAAATGGACGGGCGTCCACATATAATGGACGTCTGTCTATAGTTTAAATTAAAAACATATTTAAAACAAAAGTAATGGACGCCCGTCCATATATTATGGACGGGAGTCCATACTTAATGGATGGGCGTCCACCTTTAATGGATGCTCGTCCAAACTTTAAATTAAAAAAAATTATAAACAAAATTTAGGACGCCCGTTCATATGTTATGGACGGTCATCCTTGAATAATGGACGCCAATCCATACTTTAAATAAATAATAATAATAATAAAACAAAATTTATGGACGCCTATCCATATGTTATGGATAGGCGTCCCTATTAGGAAAAAAAAAGTTTATCTTCTCTTCAAAGTCTTCTTCCTCATCCAGCTCTTCAATGCCATCCATGCTTCAGTTTGGTTTTTTTTAGTAATCCAAACAGCCAAAAAAAAAAAAAAAAAAAGATGAGCTACCCTGATGAAGCCTTCCGAGTGGGTTGGGTTGGTCCAACCAAGAAAGTCAAGGGAGAAAGATGAAGATGCACAAACGCGAAAGGAAGAAGGTTGTTCAATTAAGTTTTCTGGTTCGTAAACATTTTGTAATATAATAATGGACGGCCATCCATGCATGTAATACACTATATAGCTAGTAATTCTTTGAAAAACATATGATAAAATCCACTAAATAACTTTTATAAACATATATACATAATGTAAAATCCGAAAATTTTAATTCGTATAAATATATATACAAAATACTAATATACATTAGTAAGCACAAGGTAATCTTGAACAGTGCCGCCAAACTCCTCCACTTCTTGACGTCCCACCTGGTCGTAAATCATCTAGTACCTGCAAAACAATAAAATAACGAAGTGAGCACTAATTGCTCAGTAAGTAAACCAAACTACATGACTGTTCTTCCTCCGTTACTCATGTTCTGATTTTCCTTTTCTCACTTTATTCTTTGCTAATATTCTTCATTCTTTTATGTTATTCTGCATTCTTTTATGATATTTTGCATTCTTTTCTGCTACTCTGATTTGCTACTTACCAACGTGCAAAGACAATAAATAAAATTGTACATCGTCGAGCACATAAAAATACTGAATCATGTAAGTAGTATAATACATATGCAGAATAATAAACTTTCTTGAGAAAAGAACTCTCTTTTCTTTTCTGTTTTTGTTTCTCTTATGCTGTATCTCTTTCTTTTCTTCTCTGATTCTCTTTCTTTTTCTTTCTTTCTTTCTAGTTTGCCGATCGGACTAGGTTGATGCATGGATTTGGAACCCTGGCCATGTGAGTGGGTATAGTCCTCATCTACATGCACTACTCACGGACTGTATAAGTACTATATCTCTCTGCTGTGGCCGCTCGCTCGTGTCGGTGTGCATGTAGGTATGCTCTGCTGGGTACAGTCCTTATCCACATACACTACTCACAGACTGTACAAATACTGTATCTCTCTGTTGATGCCACTCACTCGTGGTGACATGTATGTGGGCATCTCTATCACTCACGGGTTCCCCATCGCAAAAACCTTATATCATAGTATAGAATAAAAAGAAATACTATGCACATTTCAACATGAATTTCCAAGCTATGGAAATTCTACACTTGCATTCTTTAAAA